GAAGGGAACAGTCTGCGGGGCAGCTCTCCTCCGTCACATGGCTCCTGACCAGTCAGAAATGGACTCGGTGGCACTTGGCTATGACAGCAAAGACTTCTCCACGCGCAAAACCAAGTTCAAAACCATGCAAACAGCTGATTCTGGCACATACAAATCTGGAGAAGCCAGCGTGCCCTCGGGTTTCCTGCCTGGCAGTTTGAGCAAGGAGGCCCCACAGGGACGCTGGAGCAGATGCTAAGCTGTCAGCTGTGCTAACTGAGTGGTAATGCTGCTGTTGTTCGGGGATGGCCAGGTTCTCTGGGCTGCAGGCAACTGCCACCGTGCCATGGACGCAGAGCTGGCAGGAGAGCCCAGCTTGCCGTCAGCGCTTCACAAGGTTCAAGGGCCTGCAGAGCCTGTGGGTCTTGGGGGTACCAGGTGGTGGGAACGCAGCATGAAGGAGACAAAGTGGGGCCCCTGCCCTCGCCAGCTGAGCATGTACTGGCTTTCCCTTCTTGCCTGGAGGAAATGCCACACAAAAGCCCGTTCAGGAGCCGAAGGCTGCTTGGTGGGCCTGAGATACAAGCACAGGGGCATGCTGGGCTTCAGTGGCTGGTGGCCTGTTCTCATGGTCCTGGAGGGTATCCACAGTTGAATGTCCAGCCCCACACACCCCAGAACGTGCAAGTAATGATGCCTAAATTGTAATGCCAACCCCTTAGCTTAACTCCATCCAGCCTTTGTCATCCGTCAGGTCTGAAGCAGAACTCATTCCTTTGGCTCAATTTCACACCCACACACACACACCCTCAAAGCTGACGCCTTGGAAGAAATGCTGACTCCTAGCGGCCATGCCGTGCAGGTAGACCTGCCCCCTTGGGTTTCTGAGACTGTCGTCCTTGCTCTTCTGTGGGCGCAGAAAGCTTCAACTTTCCCAGTGGAGCAATAGGTGGTTTTGAACTGCCAGCCTTGTGGTTATCAGCCCTTTGGCCAAATATTAAGCAGGGGGAGCAGGTGCCCTGGTGGCATAGTGTTTACGCTTTCTGTGGGGCTGAGACCCGCGAGGTCCCAGACCACGAGGCTTTCTACTCCCGTAAACAGTTACAGTCTCAGAAACTCCATACCGTCCTTATGAGTCCTCATCAACTCAATGGCAGTGAGCTTGGGTTTTTGTGTGATTGAGAGGACACTTTGGGTGCTACCTTTGGTTGAAGATTCAATGGTGATCTCTAACCAGCAGTTTAGGGGTTCATCCAGCCTCCGAGGCTGACAAACACCTTCGTTGACAGGAGTGGAAAGTTTGAGGGGGAGGGGATTGAGATTGCTTGGCTCCATCCTAGCCTCTGCAAAGTCTGGAGAGGAGCTGCCCTTGCCCCAGAGCGGAGGGTAGGTAACCTCTGGGGACACCTGTGTGGAGGGCCCTTGGCTGAGCCACAACGGTCTGACAGCATCTCTAGTGAGTGGCCTGCGCCGCCTGAGCCAAGAACAAGATGGGGAGGACTTGGAGGTGCTGGCTCATTGTGTGATGGGTGTCCGTGTTGTCACCGGCTGCTGAAGGGGGAAATGAGGGGCAAGCGCCTGCCCCAGGAGCGGCCCCGCCTCCTGAGATGGGCATTCTCTGTCCTCCACCTCAGGGGACCCCATCCTGAGCCCCATATAAGGTGCTTTCTGATTCACACAACCCTGCTTGTCCCTGTGGCTGGGTGCCGCCCCTTCAAGTTGGAATCCACTCCAGGGCAGTGAGTTTTCCATTTGAGTCAGAGGGTGGCCGTGTGTCGATTGGTCTATCTATAGTCTTAACAGTGTTGAAGAGCAAGGAGGCCATTCTCAGGACTCATGGGCAACTCTCCCCAGCCATGCTGCTGCCGATTGCCTCCCTCTGCTTGTGGACATTGGTGTGGAATAAGGGAGACCGCAGATGGATGAGAATTGACCCAGAGGGCTGTCCGGGCTGCGAGCTTCACACAGACGTGGCCAAGGCTTGCTTCTGGACAGCCCACCTGTCAGTCAACAGCCATGTGCTGAACCAAAGCCCCACGAGGCCTCCTGGACCTCCCCTAACCCCTTGGCAGATTGTATCTTACAGTGAGCCTATTCTCCTTTGTCA